TTTCACTCACTTCATTATAGTGTGACGTCACGGATCATTATGTTGTTTATGGATGAACTGAGTCTATCGCCATAATGAGAGAAACAACGCCAGTACGAGCACTCGCATAGCGCCTAGACTGGAGAAGATTCGCCAGTTGTCGTTTGCTCGGGGATTAGATGTTAAGGTTCGTTTTGCGTTGATGGAGGAAGTAAAAGAAATGACGTGATGCTGGCAACTGTGAGGTATACACACACACCTGACACACACACCTGCACGCACACACCTGCACGTACACATACCTGCACATACACATGCACTCACACACACATATGCACGCACAAACACACACACACACACACACACACACACACGCGCGCGCTTTTGTCAAAATGCCATCCTATGTCTGAGGGTTGGTGACCTCGTCCCAACGCTGCAAACTTCAGACTGCAAACAGCTTTCAATATGATTTCTCCGTCCCAGTCTTGGTTTTCCCCTGTCCCCTCTATCATCAATATTTCTACCATTATCCCCTCATCTCCAACCATAATACCTCATATTCCTTATTTATCACTTCTTCCTCTAGTCCTTCGTCATTGGGTTTTCCATTATTATTCCTTATTTCTATCTATCTCCCGTTACACCATATTTCGCAATCTTCTTCTGGTGTTTACTGCAAGTGTCCAAGCTTGTGACCCATACAACAGTACGGACCAATAATAATGCTTTTACTTGCTCTATTCTCATTTTAATTTGTTTCCCCCGTCTATAGTATCAACTTTAGTTATATCCTTTCACCTGTTCAAGTTCCTTAGTGTCTACTTTATTTTTTGGATTTATATTTAATTTCGAAACCACCTTTACCTTCATCAAATCATTAATTTTAAGCTTCTAATTCTTCAACTTTATCCATATAATCTGTGAGTTAGTTTTAGTAATGTTTCTTAACTATCTGTAATTAAAAGACTATAGCCTGTATACCCATTATTTGATATTAGTATTAACTTTTATTATTTCTTATAACTTGACTTCCAACTTGTACACACATATGCAGATCTGTAAACGTTCAACCACTAACAGCTGTCATCACAGGCCGGCATCAGCGGGAGTGACGATTCATGGTGTTGATCTGAGTCACCAAGGCTGTTTAAGGACAGTCTCGACCACAATCAGTGAACCAACATGACTCGAAGCTTCAACCCCCTCCCCCCCAGATGATATAGCGGCTGATCCACTCCTATTGAACCTGTGTACAGCTGCTTTCCCCGTTATAATTAATTTTTTTTTACTGATTGTATCCTGACAGACTGACCAGTAGAGACAATGTGGTCATGACAAGCGCCGCATGTGTTTATTTGCTTCATAATCTGCTTCGACTCCCTTATGAATGAGGCAACTGACAAATATTTCCAGCGTAAATAAATATATTATAATGTGTCTAATTCCCTCCAGATGATGTTATGAAAGGCAGAATCAACATTTTAGTATTTTTTTTTTTGGCGGCAGTTAGCTTGATGCGCACTTTTCCTGACCTAACTGATGTATGTCTATTGAACTTGAAGGAAACTATATTAAGTGTGGCCTTATACAGCTTATTAGAAAATCTTGGTCGGTCTTGTTTAGTTTTTGCGAGAGAATAAGAAAGTCATAAGTCGGGACCTGGTAAGATATAATGTACTTTTTGCTATTGATTCTGTATTGCTTATTTAGTAATCCTCTTCATCAGTCTATATCTTACTAACCAATAGCACTATGATCGGCCAGTTCTCTGTTGCAGACTATCGGCAGGTATACTGGATATTCACTGACTTCTCGCCGTGAGGAGTCTACGAGTATAACATAGATTTGAGTTTGTTTATATTCGGTGCCGTTCCCAATCATCACGGTCATATTTTTTCTCCCGTAAGTAGAGATGACAGGACGTGTGTAACTGTCTTAAGTTTTGCTACACCACAAACTTGAAGGTTAAGATTACTTCAGATTTATAATGAAGCTTCAGTTGAGTTTACGCTTACGATGTTTGGGAAGAGACAATTGTCGATCGTATCTTTGAGAATCCTTGGTCTATTTGACGGTAGCCAGACAAATTCACAGTTTATATTTGTCATTTTGTTATCAGTATCCGTTACCAGTACCCGTCACCAGTACCCGTCACCAGTATACCAGTCACCAGTACACGTCACCAATAATCTTTAATACTCGAGGGGAAAATTACATAAGAGCTTATTCAGATTTATATCAAATAAAAACAAAAGAGCATCAACATAAATTAATCCCATCCTCGCATCTATCGCCGCCGCTCCCGCTCTTGTTTGACGGGGGATGAAGGGGAAAGAAAATAAACCTCAAATAAATGTAAAATAACCGACCAAAACAAAGACAACATCCAAATTACAACACTAAATCAATTATATTCAACCGTACAATCACTCTCGTATACTCCTGGGCATATAGTGTTTGTCAGTGTATACTTATTAGTTTAAATATAACTCTGTATATATCAGTAAGGATAGATTATGTGTATATTTCCCATAAAATGATACGAGTTACTGAATGGATCTCCAACTCCAGCTTATAGATCTCCCATGCAAGTGCTCCGGTCGCTTACAAACCAACACTACTGACTAACATAGAGATTAACACTGACCCCCAACACTCTCTCGCCTCAGAATTTAAGTTGTGTTAATAAAATTTAGGTTAGGTTAATTGTATTCAGAGATATGTATACATAACATACATAACTTACATACATTACATAAATTGCATACATACATACATACATACATACATACATATATACATAACGTACATTACATACATAAACATAACATACATTACATTCATTACATACATACATGTCTAAGTGTGTATTATAAGAAACTAATTACACTAGTCGTTAGCAATTAAGACATAATTTAAGGTCAATTAATTTATTGTCCCATAATGAGGTTAAATTTGATAATGAGGTTTTAATTTAAATCTGTAAAATAATTAACTTTGGTTATTAAATGATAAATAAATAAGTTTCTTTATATTATTAAAAAAAAACTCGATATATTCTGTAAAATACTGAGACGTGTTACATTAAAACTCACTACAGCAATTAAGGTGATAAAGGAATTACATTATCTAAAAAAAAAATATAAAATATTTATTAAGGATCGTGAGAGTAGATTTACATATAATAATCGATAAACAAATAAAAGTTATATTTATGCCTATAACTTATGAGGTTAGCATCAATCAGACGTTAAAGTTGCAATGATAAAATCTGTCAAGGAAATAATTATCAAGGTGAAAATGTTAAGAGATGGTGTCGATGATTAAAGGTGAAGCAGTGGCGAGAGGTCAGGTAATGAGTGACTTATTATGGTGAGAGGTCAGGTAATGAGTGACGTATTATGGCGAGAGGTCAGGTAATGAGTGACGTATTATGGCGAGAGGTCAGGTAATGAGTGACGTATTATGGCGAGAGGTCAGGTAATGAGTGACATATTATGGCGAGAGGTCAGGTAATGAGTGACGTATTATGGCGAGAGGTCAGGTAATGAGTGACGAAACATTTGTTTTGTGATTAATGGTAACGTTAAATTTATCTTATAGTATACATATCTTATAGTATTCATGTCTTATATTATACATGTCTTATAGTATACATGTCTTATAGTATACAGGTCTTATAGTATACAGGTCTTATAGTATATATGTCTTATAGTATACATGTCTTATAGTATACAGGTCTTATAGTATACAGGTCTTATAGTATACATGTCTTATAGTATACATGTCTTATAGTATACAGGTCTTATAGTATACATGTCTTATAGTATACATGTCTTATAGTATACATGTCTTATAGTATACATTTCTTATAGTATACATGTCTTATAGTATACAGGTCTTATAGTATACAGGTCTTATTGTATACATGTCGTATAGTATACATGTCTTATAGTATACATGTCTTATAGTATACATGTCTTATAGTATACAGGTCTTATAGTATACAGGTCTTATAGTATACATGTCTTATAGTATACATGTCTTATAGTATACAGGTCTTATAGTATACAGGTCTTATAGTATACATGTCTTATAGTATACAGGTCTTATAGTATACAGGTCTTATTGTATACATGTCTTATAGTATACATATCTTATAGTATACATGTCTTATAGTATACATGTCTTATAGTATACATGTCTTATAGTATACAGGTCTTATAGTATACAGGTCTTATAGTATACATGTCTTACAGTATACAGGTCTTATAGTATACATGTCTTATAGTATACATGTCTTATAGTATACATGTATTTACAGTAGTCTACGATATCCCATTGGTACATTAATATGATAATTCTGATGGATATTTTTAAAGTTATCATGAAGTTTCTGACGGTGTTCATATGAGTTCAATTACATTTATTAACCACTAGGACTATCCATCCCGAAGTAACTAATTCGAAAAGTTCCAATTACCAGTTGGTGATGACAGAGAAAGTCTCAGCTGACGATGAATAAACTTACAAGCGGTAAAAATAATTGATATGTGATTTTGAAATTCATTGGACATTCTTCCCTCTTCCTCTGATGCAACAGACATGGGACTCTCTGATCACCTTCGACCATTAGGGACTTTCTCAACAACCACTTTTATCAGTAAGGTTCCTATAGCTCTTTTAAAATTTGTACCTAAACCCTATTAGAAACTTTCCCCTGTCACTTTAATTACAAATCCTTTTCGTTCATAAATGTTGTATGAGCCACTGAACGCCTCGTTGATATCAAAGCCATGAATTAAGTAACCGGAACCCAAATTGTGACGAAAACAAAAGCTAGCGATTCCTATACCTTACAAATCCCCCAGAGTATTAACAAGAAAACAAGTCATCATCAGTTCTAGTTGGGGGCCGACGAGGAGAGAGAACTGGTCTTACAGACCCACATCCGCTGAAGATAAAACCTAGTTCCAAAAAAAAAAAAGGGTGTGTAGTCCTCCGCTAGTCGTAGTCTAACCTCCGGCCAACCTGCAGGTGACTCTCTGTATCTCCATCCTGCTCTCCCTCACCGTGTTCTTCCTCCTGCTCGCTGAGATCATCCCCCCAACGTCACTGGCCGTGCCTCTGCTTGGAAAGTACCTGCTCTTCACCATGATCCTGGTGACGCTCTCCATCTGCGTCACCGTCGGCGTCCTCAACGTTCACTTCAGGTAAGTCGTCATTTAGTAGTCAAGTTTTCTAAACATGTTTGTTGTGCTCTGATTCTTATTGTGTTCAGTGTTTTATTTCTTGTCAATATGTGTTGTAGAGTCGAAGACGATTCAACAGCAAGTATACTGTATGTATATGAGGCATCTGTTACTAGTCACTTCATTTACAAATATAATGAACTGTAGAGAATATTATAGGTCCTTTTAAAATAAATTCCGAGGCAATATTTGTAGCATTAGGCCAGTAGTCTGATGAATCTCACTGGCTCCTTTAACTAGTTCAATTATGTTCAAGTTAGCGAGTGAGAGAAGAGAACTGTGACACATAAGAATTAATAATGTGTTACGTTGGAGAGAATTACCCGGTCTGACGAGGGCCTGTTCCCTCACTCCCGCAGTCAACAGAATGACGAATTAGGTTCTCTCTGCCCCGGCGGCCACTTTGTGATTCATTCGTCCGTGTGGTGGGCCGAGGGGCACACGGGCCACAGTCAGGCTACAGCTGCACCTCACCACACGGCCTTTGACCCGGGACAGGTAAACAGGTCTCAATCGGCGGCTGTCCACACCTGGGGGCCTTAGTTATACAGGTGAACGAGTCCTGGGTAGAGAGAGAGGAGGTTAAGCTGCAGGTTCTCTATTAACCTTTTGCCGTCAGGAAGAGTTTACCACTCAATTATTTCCTAAGCTAGTTTCTTCACTCTATTTCGTTTTCTCTATATTTTTCTTTTTCTTTCTCTCTTACTTTTGCTTTATTTTTCTTCCCCTTTCTTCTCTCTGCCTCTCACTCTTTTTTGTTTTCCTCTCTCTCTCGTTCTCATATTGTCTCTTTTCTTTCAAATCTGTTGAACTCTCTCTTTTTGTCCTGTTCTTTATGCTTCAAACCCTATTTCAGACACTCAAACCTCAGTCGCTAACGAACCCCTCCACAAACCTACCCCCAACAAACTGCCTCCCAGACCCAAATTCGAGAGACTAGAGACTCAATCTCCGAGTCTCTACATTATCTCTGATCTCCTGTTATCGTCTTGGAGATCAAAGGAGACGTGGGTGCTGTTCCTCCTCCTGTTGGTAGTGATGCTGTGAAGGTTATTATCACCGTCTATGCAGCAGCGGCAAGAACAGCAGTAATTGGGAGTAATTGTGGTGATGGTGGTGGTAGTTATGCTGTTATTGGTATTATTATTATTATTATTATTATTGTTGTTATTATCATTATTGTTAGTGTAATTATTGCTAGTTACTATAGTTATTATTATGATGATGAGAGAGAGAGAGAGAGAGAGAGAGAGTTCAAGCATCAAAGACGTAACTCATAGAAACACACACACACACACACACACACACACACACACACACACACACACAGCAGCAGTATTCTCTTTTGATTTAATTATAAAAATAAAAAAATATGTTGTTGAACGAGAAAAAAAAAATGTTCTAGCCAATAGTGTTTTGGGATGACGCAGTTGTCAGTTACTTTATTTTTATTAATATTGTTTTCGTATTTTTCTTAGTATTTTGTCATTGTCATTCTGTCGTTAATGCACTATTGTTACTATTACTATTATAGTGTGATTATGAGGACGGTGTGGCAATAGTAATGCTGTATCGTAATAGGAGCAATGTGCAATAATATACTGCAGTGTAATAGGGACAGTGTTTATAGGGACTCTGTACTGCAATGGGGATGATTCTCCGTAATGGGAAGAGAGTGTACGTTAATAGGGGGGTGATGTATCGCGTAATAAGGACGATTTATCTTAATAGGGACAGGCAGCCCGTGATGGGAGGGGACTCGAATGATATAGGACCGAGGGGTAAGAGGTACTGCTAGTGATGTGTGCTGTGTGGTTGGCTGGATAGAGCGATTTGTAGCAGTCAGCGTGTACGGGTTGGTAGGCAGGCTGGGATCCAATCACTCCTTTCTCACACTTAGACCAGAGACGCGAGTGATAAATATCTCTCTCACTGTCTCTGTCTCTCACTGTCTACCTCTCTCTTTGTCTCTCTCTCTCTCTATATGACTGTAACTCTCTCCCCCCCTACTCTCTTTCTCTTTATTTACTTCTGTGTTTCTTTCTACGGTGCACACACACACACACACACACACACAAAACATTAACTCTTCCAACTTTTTCCCGTTATTGGGAACTGAATATTTGAAGCTCCCCGGCCGCCGCTGCCGTCCGAAAAAAGAAAAAAAAAACACCAAACAGCTACACACAGATGGGAATGGTCACACCGTTTCTCCTGGGGCTTCGTCTGGCGATCTAATCTTGTGTTAAATTGCCTCTGTGTACACCCGGCATCTCCTGACGGGGAAATAAATGAGTCGCCTCGCCCCTAGAATGGTATTTCGGTCACTGGTTCCACTCTTTCGCTCTTTGTTTGAGTCACTTTTTTTTTCTGCTGGTGTTTTCCTGCGAGGTTATCCTTATTGTTTGTTGATTATATTTTTACAACTACCACCTACCACTATTCTCCACTACTATCACCACCTACCACTATCCCTACTACTATCACCACTAGCCACAACCCCCTAACCACTACCTTCACCACCATTACACCCCACCACAACCCTCCTACCACCACCACCACCACTTCCCTGCTCTCTTTTACAATCTGCATCAAAAAATTAATATTCATTTTGTGTGAAGTAATGTTGCCAGACGAGATGTAATTACCACGTTGATGAGGGTTTCTTCATTATGGCTTTAATATTCATTTATTATTTCTGAGGTTAGTTTCTGACCAGGTGCCGTACTTATTAACTCACAGTGGGGGGGGTGTAAAGCTCTCAAAAGGCTAGTGCGTGTGTGTGTAAGTACTGTACGTAACTAAGTGTAGTCACGGAAGTAAGTCCTATCGGTTCTTCGTCCCGAACCCTGAGACTCATGAACCTGTGAATCCGAGACATCACACAGTTGCATTATTGGGTCCATAGATGGCGCGCTGTGTCGTGTGACTCGTGGGAGCTTGAGGGAGTGAGGCGCGGGGCGAGGGAGTGAGGGGCGGGGGGAGGTGAGGTGAGGTGAGGTGAGAGGGATTATGGGATGCAACAGCGAGGTGATGTAACTGCAACACTTAACTATATGAAACTTTTTTTATTTACACTTTATGATATTAATTAGAATTTTTATGGTGTTAACTGCATCGCGGCTCGCAGGTGTACCGGAAATCAGGATAAGCAATTACCTGCAGACACAGATGCTGGGGTGGGATCTCTGCCATAATCTGTGAATTAAACTACTGAAATAATACTAGACCTAATATTTGTGTTAATATCAGCGGTTAAGTGTTCTGTAGTACTGTAATGATTAGTGGTGTATTTGTGACATAAAATAGGAATGGATCGTTTGAGACCAGAATTGAAGTTACCATTAATCAGATATGTATTTATGGAAGAAAACCAACAGGTAGCAAATGGCTGATTGAAATAACTAGACATTATGTGGTTATCTCTCCTCTACCTTTTGTTTGTGTCTATTTAATTTAAATCCCTAAGCTCACAGATATCCGTCCATAGTCTGCTTTAGTTATAGGATCTCAGAACATGACTGTTGGTCGCGGTTCACGGGAGTCGATATGGATGATGCTTATTACTCAGTCGAAATTGATGTGTATGAATGTAATGTGTCTGTATAAATGTGTGTATGTATGTGTGTGTGCCTATAAGGGTTGGCAGACTTGTCACCTATCGAGGTAGTTAACCTATTGTGTATAGTGATAGTCAGACTGTCATCCATAACGTTGGCAAGACTGTCACGCATAATGTTGGACAGGTTTTTGGTACGGCTATCCTGTATAACGTTGGCAGGCATGTGATCCATCATGTTGGTACGCCTGCTGCCACATTAATGGCTGGGCCAGGGTGTCCCTCGCTGAGTGTTTGCACTTAATGAATGTTTGATACAAAAAATTAATTTTCCATTATGGCGGATACATTGTCACCAGGACGAGGCTGCCTTAATTACCTTTTAGGGCATTTTTGTCATTATTCTCAATTATTCATTTACTATTTCTGGATCAACCCGGCCAAAAGATGGAAGGTTTTTATGTAGAGTGTAATTACATTGTGAAGTTGGACTGTTAGTGTGTGTGTGTGTGTGTGTGTGTGTGTGTGTGTGTGTTGGCATACGTGTTTACACCCTTGTGGCATTAACACTGATGATGGCACTGTGTATTATCATCACTACTCTTGTACCATCAGTGTATGGCGGTGGTTGATCCCATAGTAATCCTTAGTCTCCTGAAGCTGTTAATGACTTCCTAAGGTACTGAAGGGATCACTCTTACTCTCATACTAAGCTGAAATCATAAAGGAAAAAAAAAACTCCCTCACACGGAAAAAACAATAATTCTATCAGGTCACGAAGACAAGAGTAGTGCTCACTCAAACAGTCTAAAACTACAGTCACAAATAAATAGCTGCTCCAGTTTTATGTCACACAGTTAATAGCCGAATAAATAAACAATATTTTGGTCATTTATAAATTGACTTTGAGTTATTCATTCATTCATCTTTGAGGACATGGTAGACTGTTTCACTCACTCAACCGGGCGAGATATTGTCCAGTGTTGTGAGGCTGTGTTTAGTGGTGGTGATGGTGGTGATGGTGGTGGTGATGGTGGTGGTGGTGATGGTGGTGGTGGTGGTGGTGGTGGTGGTGGTGGTGGTGGTGGTGATGGTGATGGTGGTGATGGTGGTGGTGGTGATGGTGGTGGTGATGATGATGGTGATGTTGGTGGTGGTGATGTTGGTGGTGGTGGTGATGGTGGTGGTGGTGATGGTGGTGGTGGTGGTGGTGATGGTGGTGGTGGTGGTGGTGATGGTGGTGGTGGTGGTGGTGATGATGATGATGGTGATAATGATGATGATGATGATGATAATGGTGATAATAATGATGATAATGATGATACCTATCGTCTACGTGTACCCTAATATCTTCCAGGCTGTGCAAGAGGCTCATATAATGATGATTTCTTCACTAAAGTAGAAAAGCATCAAGGTGGAGAGACAGCCGCGGTCGTCGCCATCTTCATTTCGACGAACACAAGCTTTCATTTAACGATACAATTAAAATCCTCCACCGTGACAGACATCTTGTTTTTCGGATCATCTTATCATAGGTAGAACACACACACACACACACACACACACACATTATAACACAGTCGTATCTTATACAAAACACGAGAGGTAAAGGATCATAGCGCCACAGCCTTGGTATTGAGAGATTAAGGCAACTTTGGACGTAATTAATATCAAGGGAACAATGCCTTTGAATGGCGGGGTGGTGCTAGCCCAGTACTCTCTCCCCTCACTCTCCCCCGAAGAAACATAAACGAATACCGATAAACAGGGTAAAATTGGATGACTGGCTGAATGGATGAATAGAAGAATGGATGTGTTTAGCTGCCGGCAACACCACACCCACACCCTAACCTTTAAAACACTATGTGGGGGATGGGGGTGGGGACTGGGTGGTGGGTGGGGTGATGGAGGTGGGGGGTGGGCGTGGGGGGGGATGGACAGTCCTTGGTAGCGACTGGATAACTCCCTTTATCACCCTAACAAGCCATTATCCCCTGAAACACGACACGTCAATCGATTCACCTCCAAGATCCTATGCTATTACACCTGGCTAGACGGACAGGTGTGCAAAGGCAAGGAAGGACAAAGGAACCTGTCTTAATTAACGTTATCTGTGGCGCTGAATCACACCCAGGAGTTCCAGCTTACGAGGCGAGTGTGTTGACAACCACGACTGAAAGCCTCAAACTGTGTAGGTGTGTGTGTGCGTGTGTGTGTGTGTGTGTGTGTGTGTGTGTGTGTGTGTGTGTGTGTGTCTCTCTTTGTAGTCATATGAAGCTAAACTTTTTTTTTATAGAGTCGCCTTTAATATTCACGATGATTGGAAATGACGCTCACCAAAGGCTCAATATTTTCATAATTACCTCAGTGAAAAACCATTCCTCTCGACTCCTAAATGAACGCCATGTAAATTCTCCCAATATTCTTCGTTTATTAATCTCCCAGTTTCGTATATCATTGATTGCATTTGCACAAGGATTTCTCCTACCCCGCCTTCCATCCTTCCATTTCTCGTACCCTGCCTTCCATCCTTCCATTTCTCCTACCCCGCCTTCCATCCTTCCATTTCTCGTACCCTGCCTTCCATCCTTCCATTTCTCCTACCCCGCCTTCCATCCTTCCATTTCTCGTACCCCGCCTTCCATCCTTCCATTTCTCGTACCCTGCCTTCCATCCTTCCATTTCTCCTACCCCGCCTTCCATCCTTCCATTTCTCGTACCCTGCCTTCCATCCTTCCATTTCTCGTAACCCGCCTCCCATCTAGCAGATCAGTTCGTCACTCACCGTCACTCTCAGGATGATCGAGCTTCAGGTGGTGGAGGCAGGGCGTCACTCATGATGAGATTGACTACACGTCGTCTTTAAGAGATGAAGTGAACCGGAAGATTTACGACTGACAGATGGAAATATATTTATCTATATCTTCCTTTACCGTTGACAATAATAATAATAATAATAATAATAATAATAATAATAATAATAATAATAATAATAATAATAAACAAACGTCTCCACGTCACTGTAAATAACTCACAAACGTTGCTCAGACGTAGTACACAAACGTCTCGGGACCAACAAACGTTTCACAGGGGGCTCACAAAGGCATCATCAGAGGAGGCAGTGTTTCACAAGCTAGAGGAGGAGAGGGAGAGGGGCGAGGAAGGGGAAGAGGAAGAGGAGTAGAAAGAGGAGGAGGTAAAGGAGGAAGAGGAGGAAGGGGGAAGAAGAAGCATATAAGATCATATTTTTTGGGTGTGTGTGTGTGTGAGGGAGTCTTACACCCTCCGGGGCGTGTCACCAAGAGTTTGTCAAAGCTTTTCATTATTCGAGTCAATATTTGGTCAAGACGTGAGATGCTTCTCTCTCTCTCTCTCTCTCTCTCTCTCTCTCTCTCCTCTCTCTCCTCCTCCTCCTCCCCCCCCCCCCCCCCCCCCCCCCCTCTCTCTCTCTCTCTCTCTGTCCTCGTCTTGTCTCGTCTAGCTGTCAGTTTATCATGCCGTCTTCATTTCCCTGTTCACACTACCTCGCTTTGTCCTTCCTGTCTGTTGTCTGTCTGCTCGTCTGTTGTATGTCTGCTTGTCAGTCTGTGTCTGTCTTTTTGTCTCTGTCTGTTATCTGTCTGTCTGTCTGTCTCTCTGTTTCTGTCTGTTATCTCTCTGTATAAGTAAGGATAAGAGATGTCTAAGTATACCTCAAATCCCCAACTCGTATATGAACAAAAATATATCTCCAAATATACTCACATTATACCCATGAATTATTACTACACCTAAAGAGTATATTTGGACTATGTGTAAAGTAATTAACAAAACGTAATTTCTGTTGATTATTATTTTTTTATATATTTTTTCATGTTTTATTTTGTGACTAGTTAATGATTCCTTGGACAATATTTGAAACTCTTAATTAAAACGAAAACATTAATAGTTCATGAATATATGTGTTTTTTTTATCGTTGTTTACAGTGTTATAATGAGTCGGTTATTTCCCTCTGAATCATCATCATAATCATCACCTCCTATCCCCTAACCACCATTCTATTCACCATCCTCACCTCCCATATCACTTGTCTCTCTACATCCTCTTCTCCATAACTCATCCTCCCTCTATCCCTCCCTCCGTCTTTTTTCCTTCCCCTTCTCTCTATATTCCCATTCCCTCTCTCCCACTGACCCGTCTTCTTTCCTTTCATCCTCCCCCCTCCCGTTTCTCTTTATCTCCCTTTCCTTCTTCTCTCCACCCTTCACTCCATCCTTCTCTGACAATATTCCTCATTCTTTCCTTCCCTCACTTTCTTTTCCATTCTTCCCTCCTCCCTCTCCTTTCTCCTTTCCGCTTCCAATATCCCTCCTCCTTTCACCGTCCCCACACTCTTCCTCCTCCCTTCCCACACCCTCCTTCCTCGCTCACCTGCCCCCACTCCCCTGCCTCCCCACTCACCCATGCCTCCACCTCACTCCCCGCCTCCCTCACTTCCCTGCCTCTACTCACTCCCCTGCTCCTCCACCTCCCCTGCCTCCTCATTTCCCCTGCTTCCCTTACTCACCCCTGCCTCCCATACCAATTCCCCTGCCTCCTCATACTCACTCCCTGCCTCCACTTCCTCCTTCCCTCCCCCACTGCTCTTACTCACTCCCTGTCCTCCACTTCCCCTGCCCCTCCTCCACTCCCCCTGCCTCACTCACTCCCCTGCAGCCCTCCCACTTTCCCCTCCCACGCCCACACTCTCTCCCTCCTGCCCCCACACTCCTTCAGTAGCAGTAACCCCTACAGCCGTTACTATACCCCACAGGTCGCCGTCCACACACAAGATGTCGCCGTGGGTGAGGCGAGTGTTTATCAACGTGATGCCTCGTCTCCTGCTGATGCGCCGCCCTCAGTATGACCCCAGAGACAGGCACGACAAGAACCCCTCTGAGCAGGAGTACATAGATGGCCTCGGCGATGGAGAGATCTGGTTAGTGACTGTGGCAGTGTTGGAGGAGGGAGGGAGGGAGAGAAGGAGGGAGGGAGAGGGAAGGGAGAGAGGGAAGGAGGAGAGGGAAGGAGGAGAGGGAAGGGAGGATTTGGTTAATGACTAAGGAAAGAAGAAGGAAGGAAGGAAGGAAGGAGAGTTGAGCAATACATAGATGGCCTCAGTGATGGAGAGATATAGTCAGTGGAAGAGGAAGGAGAGAGGGAGAGGGGGTGGAGAAGATCGAGGAGTAGAAGTTGTAGAGATGTGGGAGGGGAGGGGAAAGGACAGGAAGTTAGAGGAAGGGAAGGGAAGAAGAATTGGAATGGTGGAAGAGAATTTTGGTCAGTGACGGGGAAAAGAGAGAACACACACACACACACACACACACACACACACACACACACACACAAAATAAATAAAACTATAATAAAATAATAAATAAAAGGTGATAAACGAGGGAGGAAGAGGCACTTAACATAATATAACAGAGGTAATCACTAATCATATTAAGTCAATGATAAGTGGGAGGTAAGATGAGTACCAGACAGCCAGCCACCTTGGGTACGAAGAGGAGGAGGGGAGAGGAAGAGGAGGAGGAGGAGGGGAGGAGGAGGAGGAGGAGGAGGAGGAGGAGGAGGAGGAGGGAGGAGGAGGAGGGAGGAGGAGGGGTGAAGGGTGGAGCAGGAAGAGGATGGGGAGGAAGAGGAGTAGGAAGAGGAAGGAGGGGAAAAAGGAAGATTGGTATGTGAGGTTAGGGATATTATTGATCTTTAGAGAGAGAGAGAGAGAGAGAGAGAGAGAGAGAGAGAGAGAGAGAGAGAGAGAGAGAGAGAGAGAGAGAGAGAGAGAGAGAGAGAGAGAGATTTTGGCTATATTATATTGTGAATTTTAAACTGTTCTCACCACTATAACCAACCGTCCCACCACAACCAACCATCACTACCACAACCAACCGTCCCCACCACAACCAACCATCACTACCACAAACCAACCGTCCCCACCACAACCAACCATCACTACCACAACCAACCATCCCCACCACAACCAACCATCCCCACCACAACCAACCATCACTACCACAACCAACCATCCCCACCACAACCAACCATCACTACCACAACCAACCATCCCTCACCACAACCAACCATCCCCACCACAACCAAACCATCACTACCACAACCAACCATCCCCACCACAACCAACCATCACCACAAAACCAACCGTCCCCACCACAAACCAACCATCCCCACCCAACAACCAACCATCCCCACCAACAACCAACCATCCTCACCACAACCAACCATCCCCACCACAACCAACCATCCCCACCACAACCAACCACATCCCCACCACAACCAACCACACTACCACAACCAACCGTCCCCACCACAACCAACCATCACTACCACAACCAACCATCACCACCACAACCAAACCATCACTACCACAACCAACCGTCCCCACCACAAACCAACCATCCCCACCACAACCAACCATCCCCACAAACCAACCATCCCCACCACAACCAACCATCCCCACCACAACCAACCAACCCCAACCATCCCCACCACAACCAACCATCCCCACCACCACCAACCATCCCCACCACAACCAACCATCCCCACCACAACCAAACCATCCCCAACAACCAACCATCCCACAACCACCAACCATCCCCACCACCACCAACCATCCCCACCACAACCAACCATCCCCACCACCACCAAACCATCCCCACCACAACCAACCATCACTACCACAACCAACCATCCCCACCACCATTCAACCATCCCCACCACAACCAACCATCCCCACCACAACCAACCATCCCCACCACAACCAACCATCCCCACCACAACCAACCATCCCCACCACAACCAACCATCCCCACAACCACCAACCATCCCCCACCACCACCAACCATCCCCACCACAACCAACCATCCCCACCACCAACCAACCACTCACCACAACCAAACATCACCACCACAACCAACCATCCCCACAACCACCAAACTCATCCCCACCACAACCAACCATCCCCACCACCACCAACCATCCCCACCACCACCAACCATCCCCACCACCACCAACCATCCTCCACCACAACCAACCATCCCCACCATCACTCAACCATCCCCACCACAAATCAACCATCATCACTACAACCAACCATCCTCACCACCACCAACCATCCCCAACAACCAAATAATCCCCACCACCACCACCATCCTCACACCACATCCATCCCTACCACTACCAACCATCACTACACAATTATCACTGTCACAATCAACCATCCTCACCAACACTAACTATCCCACCACAATTAATCACTCCCACCACAACAAATATCATCACCACAAACAACGGTCCTCACTACAATTCAACTAACCACTACCTTCACCACATTACATACCATTATCAATACCACCACTAATACTACACACTATCACTATCATCACCATATCCACCACCACCACACCACCAGTACATTATCCTGTCGTCCACCACGAAGGAAGGAAGCGACACGTTCACCGTCCTTCTTATCTGTCTGTGTGTGTGTGTGTGTGTGTGTGTGTGGAAGGGAGGTGAGATAAGGAAGAAGGAGTTGCGTAAACGTAGGAGGAAGATTGACGCCTCTCTTATTGGTCGAGCGTCACATTGTCTCTCTGGTGGTGGTGGTGCGGTGCAAGGTGGTGGTGGGGTGGTGGTTAAAGATGGTGGTAGCGGTGGGGTGGTTGGGTGTGTGATGGTGGTAGTGGGGTGTTGTTGAGTATGGTGGTAGTGGTGGGGTGGTGGGCTATGTGTGATGGTGGTAGTGGGGTGGTGGTTGGCGGTGATGGTGGTAGTGGTGGGGTGGTGGCAGTGATGATGGTGGGGGTGGTGGTTGGCATGACAGGTAGGGTGGTGGTTGGCGTGATGGTAGTAGCACAATGAGGAAGTAAAGGAAGTGTAGTAATGGTGTGGCTGGGGTCGTCTACTGGTCCATATCTTGCCTGGGGGACAACTCCACGTTTTATCTGTCAGAGGGTCAGTGAGTGAGTCAGTCAGTCAGTGGGTGAGCTGGGTCGGGTGAGTCAGCCAGTGGGTGAGCTCGGCCAGTGGGTGAGCTGTGGGTAGAGCTGGCCAGTGGTTGAGTCAGCTGGGTGAACAGTCGGTGGGTGAGTCAGTCGGTGGGTGAGTCAATGAGGGTGAGTCAATCAGTGGGTAAGCTGGGCCAGGGTGAGTCAGTCTGTGGGTGAGCCAGCTCAGGGAAACAGAGGGTGAGCTCAGTCAGTGGGTGAGCAGTCAGTGGAGTTAAGTCAGTCAGAGGGTGAGTCAACAGAGGTGAGCTGTCAGAGGGTGAGTCAGTCAGAAGGTGAGCTGGCTGCGGGTGAGTCAGCCAGAGGTGAGTCATCAGAGGGTGAGTCAGCCAGAGGGTGAGTCAGCCAGAAGGTGAGCAGCCGGTGGGTGACTGGGTCGGTGGGAGCTGTCGGTGGGTGAGTCAGTCAGTGGATGGTCAGTCTGTGGGTGAGTCTGGGCTGCAAGGAGTTAGCCAGAGGGGTGAGTCAGTCAGAGGGTGAGACAGCCAGAGGGTGAGTCAGTCAGTGGGTGAGACAGCCTGTGTGAGCTGGGGTGGAGTTTGCCAGGTGAGCCAGCCAGAGGAGGGTGAGTCAGTCAGTGGGTGAGCTCGTCGGTGGGTCACTGGGGGGCAGGGTGGTAGAGGCAGTGGGGGCTAGGTAGAGGTCAGTGGGGGCTAGGTAGAGGCCGGTGGGGGCTAGGTAGAGGTCACTGGGGTTAGGGAAGATGCTGCTGGGGAGGCCAGGTGAGGCCGGGGCTGGGAGAATATACCCAGTCAGAAAGCAATTACAGAAGGGAAGAGGCGATAGAGCGAGGACTGTGAGGAGAAAGGGGAGAGAGAGAGATGAAAGGGGTGTGGTGAAGTGTGCTGATGAAAATATAGTTAAAAGAGTGTAAAGGAGGTCCTCTCCCTCCCTCCTTCTCCTCTCCTCCTTCCCTCTCTTCTCCTGCCTTCTCCCCTCCTTTGAGTTTATAGGGTGTGACTGTGTGATGAAACGAGGAGGAGGAGAAGGATGATGAAAGTGGAGGTTGACAAATGGGAATGAAGTTAGGAGTGAATGTTAGAGGACCAGGGGGGAGAGGAAGGAGAGGAAGGGAGGAGAGGAGAGGAAGGAGAGGAAGGGAGGGAGGTGGACTTTGAGGCTCACTTTTAAAAAAAATAATAATTGTAATGTCGTTTTACCGTCTGTCTGTTTCTCCTTTTGTCTGTCTGTTTTTGTCTGTGTCATGTCTGTCTGTCTGTCTGTCTGTCTTATTCATCTTTTCTTTCCCTTCCTGTCTCTCTCACCCAGGTTTAAGGTTAATAAACTGAAGAATAATTAAGGAAGGACTGGTCGGAAAGGAAGGAAAGGAAGGAAGAAGGAAGAAGGAAGGAAGGAAAGAGAAAGGAAAGGAAAGGAAGGAAGGAAGGTCGGAAAAGGAAGGAAGGGAAGGAAAGGGGAGAAGGAAGAAGGAAAGGAAAGGGAAGGAAAGAGGGAAGGAAAGAAGGAAGGAAGAGGGAAGGAAAGGGAAGGAAGAGAGGAATGGTAGGAAAAGGGGAAGGGAAAGGGAAGGAAGAAGGGGGAAGGAAGAAAGGAAGGAAGGGAAGAAGGGGAAGGGAAAGAAGGAAGGAAGGGAAGGAAGGGAAGAAAGGAAGGAAGGAAAGGAGGAAGGGGAAGGAAGGGAAGGAAAGGGGGAAGGGAAGGAAGGGAAGGAAGGGAAGGGAAGGGGGAAGGGAAGGAAGGAAGGGAGAAGGGAAGGAAGGGGAAGGAAGAAGAAAGGAAGGAAAGGAAAGAAAAGAGGAGGTATTAGAAGAGGAAGAGGGATGAGAAGATGGAGAGGAATAAAGAAGGGAAGTGGAGGAAGACTAACAGGGAAAGGAATGAGAAGGGAAAGAATAGGAGAAAGAGAGGAAGAGGAAGGAGGAAGGGAATGGGGGGAGGAAGAGGAAAAAGTAGA